GTCACCCAGGTTGGAGTGCAGTGGCTCAATCTCTGCTCACTGCAGCCTCTGCCTCCTGGGTTCAAGTGATTCTCATGCCTCAGCCACCCAAGTAGTTCCTAGTAGCTGGGATTACAGGCATGCACCACCATATCCAGATTACTATTATTATTATTATTTTTATTTTTTTTTTGAGATGGAGTCTCGCTCTGTCTCTCAGGCTGGAGTGCAGTGGCACGATCTCCACTCACTGCCAGCTCCGTCGCCTCCCGGGTTCACGCCATTCTCCTGCCTCAGCCTCCCAAGAAGCTGGGACTACAGGTGCCCACCACCACGCAGGGCTAATTTTTTTGGTATTTGTAGTAGAGACGGGGTTTCACCGTGTTCACCAGGATGGTCTCGATCTCCTGACCTTGTGATCTGCCTGCCTCGGCCTCCCAAAGTGCTGGGATTACAGGCGTGAGCCACCGCGCCCGGCCACTATTATTATTATTATTATTATTATTATTTTGAGATGAAATCTCACTCCATTGCCCAGACTGGAGTGCAGTGGCAAGATCTCAGCTCACTGCAACCTCCAATTCCCAGATTCAAGCAATTCTGCTGCCTCATTCTCCTGAGGAGCTGGGATTACAATAGTGCACCTGGATATCTTTTTTATATCTTTTTTTAGTAGAGATGGGGTTTCACCGTGTTAGCCAGGATGGTCTCGATCTCCTGACCTCATGATCCACCCGCCTCGGCCTCCCAAAGTGCTGGGATTACAGGCGTGAGCCACGGTGCCCGGTCAATTTTTTGTATTTTTAGTAGCGGGGTTTCACTATCTTGGCTAGGCTGGTCTCAAACTCGTGGCCTCAAGTGATTCGCCGGCCTTGGCCTCCCAATTCCAAGGCCCAAGTCCCCCAAAGTGCTGGTATTACAGGTGTAAGCCACCTCACCTGGCCTTCCCAGCTAATTTTTATATATTTTTTGTAGAGACAGGATCTTGCTAAGTTGCCCAGGCTGGTCTCGAACTCCTAGCCTTAAATGACCCTCCCACCTCGGCCTCCCAACTGCTGGGATTACAGGCATGAGCCACTGCGCCCAGAACCTCATCTGAGTCTTGAAACTAAAATTAACATTCCTTTGACTTTGTCCTTTGGGAGACTGTTTAATCAGTTCTACTGAGTAGATATTACTTATTTTACAATGTTTAAAACAAAACAAACAAAAAAAAACCCTACATTTTTAACCCCTAAAAATAAACTATAGGAAAAAATATAAAGCTAACATTCTTCACAGGGATCTCACCACCTTACAGGCAGCTGGGGTCTGCGGGATGCTGAAATATGCCCCCTGCATTCCACCCACTGCCTTTGGTGTTAGTTTTCCCCAGGTCCTCCCTCCCACAGTGGCATAAGGGTTCTGGAACTTCTGCTAGACTTGCTCCTACCCTAGACTCTGTTTCTGGGCTCACGCAGTTTACTTTCTGACTTTGTCCACACTCCTGCCTCTGCCGGGACAACTCTCCTACCCATCTCTGCTTAACTTTGTCTCCTTTCTAGCATTTCTTTTTTTTTTTTTTTTTTTTTTCTGAGACGGAGTCTCGCTCTGTCACCCAGGCTGGAGTGCAGTGGCCAGATCTCAGCTCACTGCAAGCTCCACCTCCCAGGTTCCCGCCATTCTCCTGCCTCAGCCTCCCAAGTAGCTGGGACCACAGGCGCCGCCACCTCGCCCGGCTAATTTTTTGTGTTTTTAGTAGAGACGGGGTTTCGCCGTGTTAGCCAGGATGGTCTCGATCTCCTGACCTAGTGATCCACCCGTCTCGGCCTCCCAAAGTGCTGAGATTACAGGCTTGAGCCACCACGCCCGGCCTCTAGCATTTCACTCATGGAGAGATCTCAGTGAATGTTCCCAGTCAACTGCAATGGCCTGGCTCCAATGCCTCCTCCTCCAGAAAGCTTTCCTTGATCTCCAGCTCCCCAGCTCCCCAGCTGAAAGTCATCCCCCACGTCTGGAGCTCCCACAGCTTCTGGTGATGGTGAGGGGGCAGCAAGCTGAGGACTTCCCACGCTGCTCCATTACTAGTCACTTACATAGAGTTGTGCAGGTAGCATCTCAGGGTGATGAAATGTCCCTGTGGTGAGGAGCTAGGCCAGCCCACGCTGTTCCAGGCCTAGGTCCCCCACTCATGGCCATGGGCTCCCTGAAGCCATAGCAACCCTGGGTTGGAGGCACCCTTGTTACCATTTCACATAGTCAAACACAGGCTCAGGGAGGCGATGCCACACCCAAAGCCAGTGGCAAGTAAGTGGCAGATCTCAGACTAAAATTTGTTTTTTAGTTTTGTGGGGTTTTTTATATCAGCCTACATCATGCTTTTTTTTTTTCTTTTTTGAGATTGAGTCTTGCTCAGTCACCCAGGCTAGAGTACAGTGGTACTATCTCGAGTCACTGCAACCTCTGCCTCCTGGGTTCAAGGAAATTTCCTGCCTCAGCCTCCCCAGTAGCTGGGATTACAGGCATGTGCCACCACGTCTGGCTGATTTTTGTATTTCTAGTAGAGACGGGATTTCGCCATGTTGGCCAGCCTGGTCCCAAACTGCTGACCTCAGGTGATCTGCCTGCCTCGGCCTCCCAAAGTGCTGGGATTACAGGCATGAGCCACTGCGCCTAGCCTGAGCCACTGCGCCTGGCACATCTTGTTTTGACGGGACTAAAATTTGGATCTGCTAGGCGTGGTCACTCATGTTTGTATTCCCAGCACTTTGGGAGACTGAGGCAGGAAGATCACTTGAGGCCAGGCATTTGAGACCAGCCTGGGCAACATAGTGAGACCCCATCTGTAAAAAAAAATTTTTTTTTTGGCTGGGCGTGGTGGCTCACGCCTGTAATCCCAGCACCTTAGGAGGCCAAGGCAGGCAGATCATGAGGTCAGTAGATCAAGACCATCCTGGCTAACACGGTGAAACTCCGTCTCTACTAAAAATACAAAAAATTAGCTGGGTGTGGTGGCAGGTGCCTGTAGTCCCAGCTACTCGGGAGGCTGAGGCAGGAGAATGGTGTGAACCTGGGAGGTAGAGCTTGCAGTGAGCCGAGATCGCGCCACCGTGCTCCAGCCTGGGCGACAGAGTGAGACTCCATCTCTTTAAATTAGCAGTGGCACACACATGTAGTCCCAGGGACTTAGGAGGCTAAGGTGGGAGGATTGCTTGAGCCCAGGAGCACAAGGCTGCAGTGAGAGACAGAGAGATCCCATCTCTTAAAAAATAATAATAAAAATAAAAGTTGGATCTGATGGATTGCAAAAATCAAGCGCAAAGCACTGTATGATTCTTCCGTGGGTCCCACCTGGACCAGGAGCCCTTTGAATTCAGGGCCTGGTGCTCCTTGCCCTCTGCCTATTCTCAGTACTCGGCACAGGGCCTTGCTCAGGGTAGGGGCTCCTGGGGGTAGAAGGCCAAGGGCTTTGGCTATAGTCCTGGCATCAAACTCGGGGTGTAATCCCAGTTCTTCCTCATAATATCAGGTTGGTGTAAAAGTAACTGTGGTTTTCACCATTAAAAGTATGCGGGGTAGGGGGCTAGGGGAGGGAGAGCATTAAGAAAAATACCTAATGTAGATCATGGCTTGATGGGTGCAGCCAACCACCATGGCACGTGTATACCTATGTAACAAACCTGCATGTTCTGCACATGAACATGTTACCCCAGAACTTACAGTATAAAAAAAAAGGCCAGGCGCAGTGGCTCAAGCCTGTAATCCCAGCACTTTGGGAGGCCGAGACGGGCGGATCACGAGGTCAGGAGATCGAGACCATCCTGGCTAACACGGTGAAACCCCGTCTCTACTAAAAATACAAGAAAATTAGCCGGGCGAGGTGGCGGGCGCCTGTAGTCCCAGCTACTCGGGAGGCTGAGGCAGGAGAATGGCGTGAACCCGGGAGGCGGAGCTTGCAGTGAGCCGAGATCGCGCCACTGCACTCCAGCCTGGGGCACAGAGCAAGACTCCGTCTCAGAAAAAAAAAAAAAAAAAAAGAAAAGAAAAAAAAAAAAGTAATGTGACCCAGGGCAAGTCACTGCACTTCTCTGGACCTCAAGTTTCCCATCCGTAAATGGGCACAAGAAGGCTCTCCCTACCCAGTGATGAGGGAGAGAATCAAAGATCTCTCATGTAAAGAATGCCTCTCCTCCAGTGTCTAGCAGCCAGCACAGGGTCTGCACACAGTAGGCACTCAATATGTTATTTATGATTATGATTATTACTATCATTGTTATTTCAAAACTGCATTTGCTTTTTTTTTTTCCCAGGCTGGGATGCAGTGGCGCAATCTCAGCTCACTACAACCTCTGCCTCCTGGGTTCAAGCAATTCTCCTGCCTCAGTTTCCTGAGTAGCTGAGATTACAGGCACGCACCACCATATCTGGCTAATTTTTTGTATTTTTAGTAGACAAAGGGTTTCATCATGCTGGCCAGACTGGTCCTGAGCTCCTGACCTCAGGTGATCCACCCACCTTGGCCTCCCAAAGTGCTGGGATTACAAGCATGAGCCACCGTGCTCTGCCAAAACTGTATTTCCGTGTTCCCAGTGCCCAGGATAAATTAAGCTTTGGATAAATCCGAGCTGTGCCCATTATCTGCGATAAAGAACTGAGTCATCCTCTCCTGCTCCCTGCTCCCAGAGACAGCACACAGTAGGTGCACAAAGATTGGGTGGGATTGGAAGGCTGCATCCTTCACACAGGGACACTGTTGGGGACCCATCCAGCTGGCAAGTGGGTGGGGTCAGATGATATCAAATACTGGGATGCCCTGAGTTTGGGGCCAGGAGAGAAGAATGGCTGGTGTAGGAAGAAGGTGCGGAGAATGAAACTGGATCCAAATGCTGCCTCGACTCCGAGAACCTCCCCTACCGGGGAATACACAGTGAGGTCTGGCTCCTAACAAGGCTTGATTGAGGAAGGGCTCTGCCCACCCGTAATGGAACAGGCTCTGAGACCTTCAGTGTCCTCTGACCAACCCCTGGCCCAGCCCCTCCTACCTTCACATAGTCGCCGCCAGCCTCCGGCTCTCCAGCAGCCCTGGAAGGAGAGGAGACAAGTGAGCATCCCCAGCCCTGCTTGGCTCCCCAGATGCCAGTCTCTTGCCTGCCTGCCTGGGGCCAGCACCTGGCCCTTGGGACCCCAGCAGGCTCACCCTGAAGGCAGGAGGGGGCACTTATCAGCTGGCCTGGCTCCTCCACTTTCCAGCTGTGCACCCCTAAGCAAGTCCCTTCACCTCTCTGAGCCTGCATTTCGTATCTGTAAATCAGGAATAATGACAGTCTCTGCCTAATGACTTTGACTGGAGGACTCAGGGCTTAATGAAAGTTACCTGCTTATTATGGAGCCTGCTTCCCGAACCACTGTCTTCACTGGACTACGGACACTATGCTTCCCTGGTTTTCTTCTTCTTCTCTCTGCCTTACCCACCCCCTCCTCCCACCCCACCCCCTCCTCCCACCCCACCCCCATCATCCCTGACTCTAAACCCTGGAGGGCCCCAGGCTGGGGATCAGCCCCTGTCCTCCTACCCTGCGCTCACTTCCTAGGGTAGAGTGACCTAGTCACGGCCACTGCCAAGCACACTGCGGAGCCACTGCCGGTGCTAGAGGGCTGCGGAATTGATTCCGCCCCCAGAGTGGAGAGCCTGGAGCGACCAGAGGCCAGAGGTGGCTATTTTTCCTTCCTGCTTCCTGAGGGCCACCATGAACCACTCCCCCCAACTGCACTGCCTTAAATGCTACCCCTACCCTCAGGCAGCCTAGACCTGCCCCTCCATCCCCAGACTTGGAAACCCAACTACCTCCTGGACGCCTCCCCTTGGATATCTGAAGGCTATCTCCAACTTGTTGTATCCAAAGCAGAACTGTGGCTCCACCCCGCCCCCTCCCCATCTTCCCCAGCTCAGCTGATGTCAGTTTCCTCTTTCCTGCCACTTTAGCCAAAAACCATATGGTCCTTTGTGCCCCTTCTCTTCCATTCAGCTCCACACCCAGTCCAGCAGGAAATCCTGCCGCTCCACCGTCAGAATCTTCTCCGCATGTCCACCCCGTCCCCACAGTAGGGCCACCCTCGTGTCTCCGGTGGAGCAGAGGAGCCTTCCCTCGGGCTCCATGTCCACTCTCACCCACAGTCAGCTTCTGCCCTGAGACCAGAAGGCGCCCAAGCTTACAACCTAAGCAGATCATGGCACACACACCATCCTCAGCCTTTCACCGGCTCCCATCTCTAGAAGAACACAATCTAAACTCCTCTCTGCGGCCGTGCAATTTATCATCCAAACCAGAACTTTTCTTCCTTTGCAAGAATAAAGAGGGTACCATGATTATGCCAGAAAAACAGGCAAAAATTGGCTCATCTGTTCCCTAACCCACAAGGTCCTGTGTGGCCTGCTGGTACCCAACAGCCACCCCGCCACCTCTCCAGCCTGTCTCCCTTGCACCTCCTGTCCCTTATTCTGCCTCTGCCCCACCCTCCTTGGCAACTTGTTCCGGCCACAGGGCCTTCGCTCTTGCTGTTCCCTCTGCGTGGAATGCTCTTCCCCAAGGGCTTCATGAAGCTTGTCCCTCCTCCCTCTTTATTCAGGGCTTTGCTTAATGTCACCTCTTTGGAGAAGCCTTCCCTGACCTCCCCACCTCGAATAGTCCCTCGTTTCTTCACTCTGTGTTCCCAATCCTACTTTATTTTCAATTTTTGCAATTTCTGCCTGAAATGGCCACTTTATATTTAATTGCTGACTTAATTATCTGATGCCCTTATGAAAGTGTTGACTTTGTCTAATTCACCATTGAGACCCAGTCCCCAACATAGTGCCTGCAGGAGCTCAAGAAATATTGCTTAAAGAAAAATTAGCCGGGTGTGGCAGCGAACGCCTGTAATCCCGGTTACTTGGGACGCTGAGGCAAGAGAATCACTTGAACCCAAGAAGAAGAGGTTGAAAGAAAGCAATATTGCTTAAAGGGATGCATGAATAGTAAACAGTCAATGTTAATTGTTAATCGCTGTCATCATTAATTTTGTTAGGTTGGGCCCAGGTTTTCTGGCTAAGAAAGGCCTCAGCCTTCCCATCTGCAAAATGGGGAGGGGAGGTCAAATATTGGACCACCTCCTCAAATACAGGAGCTTCATATTTAAAAAAAAAAGGAAGCCGAGATAAAAAATAAAATTGTGGGTTCCCCCAATCCTAAGGCCAAAAGCTCCTCCTCCTTGAGACGTTGTCTGATAGCCCTCCCTGTTCTAACATTCTAGGATTCTTCATCGCTAATCTTCTCTCCTAGAAAGCCCTAGCTGGTATCCAACCACAGTTCCTCAAGCTACAGCCCAGCAACAGTAGGCTTTTGGGCTCTCTGTCCAGCAGCAGTGGAGTGAGCTACAGTAGGGACCCCTCCCCCATCCACCTCCGCCCACTCTTCCCGGGTGAGGCGTCCCATCCCAACATTTCCTGCTATTCAGGCCCGGAAATCCTCCCACTGCTGGGAACAAATCGGCCAGGACACTGGATCAACCCAGCGCTTCCTCCTGCTTCCTGTACTTCCCCTCGGGCTCTGGAACAGGGGTAGAGCCTTGGAGACAGGGTTCCTGCACAAGAGATCAGGCCTGACTAGGGTGGCCAGAGCCTATAGGGGTGCTTAGGGCAGAGGCCCAGGTCAGGGAAGCTGAGGCTCTGGGGCCACTCTTCCACCCCATGGCCTCACCATAGGGTGGCGCTACAACACTCTGACATGTCCAAGACACAATGACCATGCCCAGTTACGATCTGCTACCATCACTTGCCTGGACTATCACCACCACCTCCCCCTGGCCTCCCTGCCTCCATCTGTGTCCCTGCGACCTATTCTCCCCGCACAGCAGCCACAGCAGTACTGTTCAAATGCAAGTCAGATCACAGCTTTCCTCTGCTCCAACCCACTTGCGTGGCCCCCAGCTTCACTTACAGTAAGAGCCAAGGTCTTGGAAACAGCCTTGCACACTGACCTCATGGCCCATGACATTCCTCCTCACCCGCGCTGCTTCATCTCCCCCGCCCCACCTCAGGGTCTTTGCACTTCCTATTCCCGCTGCCTGGAATATTTTCCTCCAGACATCCCCTGGGTTCCCTCCCTCATGCTCTTGGCTGTTGTTGTTGAGACGGAGTCTCACTCCATCGCCCAGGCTTGAGTGCAATGGCGCGATCTTGGCTGACTGCAACCTCCGCCTCCCGTGTCCAAACAATTCTCCTGCCTCAGCCTCCCAAGTAGGTGGGATTACAGGTGACCACCACCACGCCGGGCTAATTTTTTGTATTTTTAGCAGAGACGGGGTTTCGCCATGTTGGCCAGGTTGGTCTTGAACTCCTGATCTCAGGTGACCTGCCTGCCTCAGCCTCCCAAAAAGTGCTGGGATTACAGGCATGAGCCACCATGCCTGGCCCTTCAGTTCTTCTTTTTTTTTTTTTTTTTTTTGAGACAGAGTCTCGCTCTATCGTTTAGGCTGGGATGCAGTGGTGAGATCATGGCCACCATAGCCTCGACCTCCTGGCTGGAGTGATCCTCCCATCTCAGCCTCCCAAAGTGTTGGGATTACAGGTGTGAGCGACCACACCCAGCCCCTCCTTCAGTTCTTCACTAAAATGTCCCCTTCTCAGCAAGGCCTTCTGGCCACCCTTTCTGAAAGTGTGATCTTCCCCAACTCCCACATTCCCTTCCCTGCTTAATTTTGCCCTGACCCCTCATCTGACTTAGCACACATTTCCTCTCATGTAATGACTAGCTCCTCTCACTACAATGTCAGCCCCACGAGGACAAGGGTTTATGTTTCTGTCTAGACAATGTTAGGAACCATCAGGAACTTAGTAAATATATTTTTTTGAATGAATGAATGAATGAGTAAATGAGTGTCACAGCAGCCCCCTGCAGCCCTGAGGACAAAGTCTAGTCCTCCTGGCTGGGCCATCTGTGACCCAGCCTCTGCTGGTCAAATCCCTTCTCTCTCTTCTCCCTTCCTTGCACTCTGGCCTTCTCAAACTTCCTCCAAAGAGCTCGACCCCCTGCAGCCTCAGGGCCTTTGTACGTGCTGTTCCCTCTGCCTGGAATGTCCTCTCTCCCTTTTGGCTAGGGTTGGTCATTCCTACGCAGCCTTCAGAGTTCAGTTTGCTTGGGGATTTCTAGAAAACTCTCCCTCCCACTGTAATGATCAAATCCAGGAATCAAAGCATCCATTTGTAAAACTCAGCTCCACTAATTAATTCCTTTATTCCTCATTTTACAAACCTAAAAGAGACTTCTCCTGCCGTATTAGTGGTGAAATCAATTAATAAATAATAGTGACAATTGAGCTAAATCAGTCCCATTAATCATCAGCATTAATTATTTAAATAACCAACCTCTTTCATTGCCTGTATTAACTGATTTGTTCTGATAACTGATACCACTTACTGCATATATTAGCTTAATTAATTGGATTAATGAGCAGTAATTAAAGCCCATTATCCTTCTTTTCCCCCAATGCATGTTTAAATCTAAGCTTTACCTTCAGGGCCTTCATCCTGGGCCAGAAGGAAGGGTGACGTTCCCCGAGAGGCCCTGTAGGAGAAGGGGTGGGGAGAGGCTGCCGTCCTGCCCCACCCTGGCCCTCTTTCATGATGGTGGCCTGGTCCTCTGCAGAGGCCTGTCTGCTCTCTGTCCCTGTCTGTTCCCTTGGGCCTTGAGGCCTGGACATATGTCCTCAAGTGGAGACCTCCCCAAGCTCTGCCACCTGCCTCTCAGCTTTTCCCCTGCCCCCGATCCCTGGCTCCCTGCCTTCCCTCTCTGAAGCCCAACTTCCTCATCTGTAAAGTGGGCACAGTATAACTACCTCCCCAGAAGGGCATGAGAAGGAGGGGTGCAAGTTCCCTGGCCCATGTGGGGTTCCTCTTGCTGTCCCAGCCTCTATCCACGAAGATCGGCCACCCTCCCACCCTGCCCCTCCTGGGGGGCTGGGCTGAAGTTGCTTTCCTCCCTTTTTTTTTTTTTTTTTTTTTGAGATGGAGTCTTGCTTTGTTGCCCAGGAGTGCAGTGTCATGATCTCGGCTCACTGCAACTTCCGCCTCCCGGGTTCAAGTGATTCTCTTGCCTCAGCCTCCTAAGTAGCTGAGACTACAAGTGCGTGCCACCACGCCCGGCCAGTTTTTGTATTTTTAGTAGAGATGGGGTTTCACCACGTTGGCCGGGCTCATCTTGAACTCCTGACCTCAGGTGATCCACCTGCCTTGGCCTCCCAAAGTGCTGGGGTTACAGGCGTGAGCCCTGTGCCCAGCCTCTTTCCTTCCTTCACGCCCATCTTCACTCCTTCCTTCATGCCCATCTTCACTCACCCACTGCAGAGAAGCAACAGGCACCTGCCCGCTCTGAGCTTCTCAGTCCTTAAAGGCCCTGGGCAAAGAGAGCTGGGTGGAAAGCCCCATCTCGCCCAGGATACCAGCCATGGGGCCTGTGGGATTCCCTGCCAGGATGATTCTTGGCTTTAGTCCTGCCCCACTCCCCAAGATGGGCCACTATTGTGTCCAGCACATCCTGCTCCCTCTCCACCGTCTGGAGCCCTCAGTCTTCCTGAGCAGGCTGGGGTGTCCAGCAGGAGCTCAGGACAGGCGACAGCCCTGTGAGGAGAAGGCCATTCTTCCCAGGGCAGAGCTGAGGATGCTGGGCCCTGAGAGCTGCCACCCGAGTCTCAAAACCTGCCAAAGAAGAGAGTGAAAACAAAAGGCATCTACCGAGCGCTGGCGGCTGATGGAATGCCTGTGATCTCGAAGCCCCATTTTACAGCGGAGAAAACTGAAGTTTGTAACTTGACCCAGGGCATGCAGCTGCTCAGACTAGAACCAGTTGGCCTGATGTCTAATTCTCTGCTCTGTTCCTTACATGGGTGGACCCCCCCCTCCCAGATATTGGGAGCCATTTCTGGGTGGAGAGGAGGAGAAACTAGAGAGGGAAGGCAAAGAAACAGACAAACAAAAAAAATAACATTTCAACCAGAGCCCAGAACCAATGTCAGGAAGAGGAAATGGGGTGGAGCCTGAGCGGGCCCTCAGCTGAGAGGTAGGAAGTGGCGTGGCTCTGGGCAAGTCCCTCTCATCAGGCCTCAGTTTCCCCTTCTACAGCATGAGTAGCTCCTGTTTACTGGTACTTACTTGGGCCAAGCCCAGAATAAATGCTTTACCTGACATATCCCATCCTCACAGTGACTCTATGAAGCAGCTGCTGTCATTGTCCCCAATTTACTGATGGGGAAACTAAGGCTCAGAGAGGAAAAGGGACTTGCTCAAGGTCACACAGTCAGTGGGCCTCTGAGCTACTGCTGTACCTGACCCCTATCCTCCCCAGCCCTCACCCCACACAGGTCCAGCAGCCTGCAACAGGGTCCCCTGAGGGTTTGGGGGGATGTGGATCCAGCTAGGGATCGGGGGAACAGCCCATCCTTCCCAAACCAGCCCAGTTCCCACAGCCCAAGGCGTCCGGGGGTCTCAAGGACTGTGAGAAAGTCTCCACAGGAAATGAGAGCCAGGAGCAGCTGGGCCCCTTCGGAAGACAAGGACCAGCCTCCCAGAGCCTGAAGAGGCTGCACAGACGGGGCCCACCACGACCCCCTCCCCTGGTGGGTAATCGCTACCAGATGCCCGGCAGCTGACGTCACCCTGCAGGGCCGAGAGGGTCGTGGGACTCTGGGGAGAGTTGGGAATTCCTGGACCAGAATCAACATTCCAAAAGGAAATGGGGTGGGGGGTGGGGGAGTATCCTGGCCTGTTTTCAGTGCCTGGCACCAGGTCTGTGGCAGGGGCAACACAGGGTACCCCTGGTTCTCAAGTCTCCGTTTCCTTCCAAACAGCCCCTTGGGAGTGAGGGTCGGAGCTTGGATCTTCAGGTGGGAGGCAAAGGACACTCAGATGAGGCACTAAAAAGCGACACAGAACAGCAATCAGATTATCCTAAAAGTTCAAGGCTGCCACAAGCTATGATCGAGCCACTGCACTCCAGCCTAGGCAACAGAATGAGACCCTGTCTCAAAAAAATATCAAACACAGAAAAGATCCTCCTAAAAAAAGGTCTTTTAGAAACATAAGTCATAGTGGGGTCTGTCGCTGTTCAAGGCCAGCAATGGCTCCCGTTTTGCTCAGAGCCAAAGCCAGGTCCTCGCTGGGCCCTTCCAGGCCCTATGTTATCTGTGCTCATTTCCATCCCAGCCTCCCAGACCACCCCTCCCTGTCCTCCCCACCTTGCTCTGCCCCAGCCACACTGGTCTCTGCTGTTCCCCAAATATGCCGCCTCAGGGCCTTTATACTTGCTGTTCCCTGGGCCTGGTGTGCTCCTTCCCAGACAGCAAGAGGGTCTGTCCCTTCGTCTCCTTTGTTCAAATGTCACTTCCTCACTGAGCCTTTCTTTCTGGTTAACCTTCTTAAATTGGCACCGCCAGCCACTCCCTCCTTTCGCCAACCAATTCTAGAGCGGATTTTAAATTTTCTCGATAAGTCTTTTCTCTTCTAGTCAACCACAGAACTCATTTATCTTGTCTATCATCTGTCTCCCCTGCCCTGGAATGGGGACTCCCTGAGGGCAGGGTTTTGTCTGCCATGCTCACCGCTATCTCCCAGAACCTAGAACAGTGTCTGAGGCATAGCTGTACCTCAGTCAATATGAAAATGAATATCATTCCAACTCAACTGACTGCATCACCTCAAGCAAGTTATTAGCCTCACAAAAATCTCAATGTCTTCATCTGCAAAATGGGTTCCTTTCCAGGGGGTCATGGGAAGTCATTTGAAATAATGGTAGAAAAAGCTGGCTGGGCGCGGTGGCTCACGCCTGTAATCCCAGCATTTTGGGAGGCAGAGGTGGGCAGATCACCTGAGGTCAGGAGTTCGAGATCAGCCTGACCAACATGGAGAAACTCCGTCTCTACTAAAAATACAAAAAAAAAAAAAAAAAAAAAAATTAGCCAGGCGTGGTGGCACATGCCTGTAATCCCAGCTACTCAGGAGGCTGAGGCAGGAGAAATGCTTGAACCCAGGAGGCGGAGGTTGCAGAGAGCCGAGATCATGCCATTGCACTCCAGCCTGGACAACAAGAGTGAAACTCCATCTCAAAAAAATAAATAAATAAATAAATAAAAGAAAAGAAAAAGCTTTGAGATCTTTACTTGCAGGAGGGGAAATGTGACCTAGTGGTGAAGAGCTTGGGCTTAGGAGCTAGTCAGGCCTGGGATCAAAGAGTCAGGCCTGACACCCAATTTCTCTGTGACCCCA